GACTTCGAAATGTGCTTTGCGCCACAGCGGCGTGCACTTTTTCGAAACTCGACCTCTGAGCCTCCAAAAGTGGTTCGAACCCCTGGTGTTTTGCACATTTTGACTTCGAAATGTGCTTCGTGCCACAACGGCGTGCACTTTTTCGAAACTCGACCTCTGAGCCTCCAAAAGTGGTCCGAACCCCTAGTGTTTTTAACATTTTGACTTGGAAATGTGCTTCGCGCCACAACGGCGTGCACTTTTTCGACATCTTAAGTGCCAAAAGTGGTCCGCACTTGGGGTGTTTTCTACATTTTGACTTGGACATGTGCTTCGCGCCACAACGGTGTGCACTTTTTCGACATCGCAGCTTCCAAAAGTGGTCAGACCCTGGTGTGTTTTGTACATTTTGACTTGGGGATGTGCTTCGCGCCACAACGGCGTGCACTTTTTCGACATCTGAAGCGCCAAAAGTGGTCCGATCCTCTGGTGTTTTGTGCATTTTGACTTGGAAATGTGCTTCGCGCCACAACGGCGTGCAATTTTTCATGTCTCATCTCCCCATATGTCTCCGCCCCCGCCGCTTTAGCGAGCCTACTTTTCGACCCTCCGGAACCACAAATCATTGGAAAAACACAGTGAATCGCGACTTTCCTTCCTTTTCGCGCATCTGCATCTTCTTTCTTCTGACTCTTTCTCTTCTGAACTTTCTCTTCTCTCTGCCTCTGCCCTGCTCTGCTTTTCATCTGTCCATATTGTCGGAAGTTTAGCTTCTCAACTTCCTTCGACAATATAGTTAAAGATATGTATCTATATAAATATATATACACATAAAAATTCCATGATATATATCCATATATACTAAATAATCTCAATATACATATAGATTCGTATATATATATATTTATATGCATACTCTACCCAGCAATTGTGGGATATTGCGCTTTGGCTAGTGGTTGCCGAAGCATAATCGCTGCCCCTTGCTCAGCATATCTAGATCATTTGGTGGATTTTCCGCAAGGGTTCCTCGAAGATATTCTCTTCAACCAAAAGACTTCGCTAATGACATTTCAATATGTTTCATATATATGTATATTCGTATATATATAGTTATCATGTATAATAACTAGAACACCTATAATGACTAGAATTACTATAATAACTAGAACATAATTATCACATCTAATCCCTTCCTCCTAATACTAAACCCCCCCCCCCTAATACAAAACACGGCAGGTAGTTTTTAGTATTAGGGGGGTATTTATTATTAGGGAACCAAATCGAAATCATGTTAATTAATTAATTAAATTTCCTTATATAACGCAATTAAAATATTGCCAAAAATGGCAGTTCGAAGCTTACCCCTAATACTAAATTAAAACCCTTAATACTAAAAACTATTTTTTCCGATCCCAAAATCAATTAAATTTCCTTATATAACGCAATTAAAATATTGCCAAAAATGGCAGTTCGAAGCTTACCCCTAATACTAAATTAAAACCCTTAATACTAAAAACTATTTTTTCCGATCTCAAAATCAATTAAATTTCCTTATATAGCGCAATTAAAATATTGCCAAAATGGCAGTTAGAAGCTTACCCCTAATTGCTAGAGTAGCTAGGCAGCTTGGAGTGAGGGATTGGGACTAGGCCCCCCTAATACTAAACACCCCGGGGTGAACTAGTTTTTAGTATTAGGGGGGAGAACCCACAAATGGTAGGTTGATTTTTAAATTGTTTTTAAAAGGGGATCAATTAAAAGTCAAATTGGCCAAACTGAAATTTTCGGAAATTGGAGATGGATGCCTGTTTTTAGTATTAGGGGGACGTTTAGTATTAGGAGGAAGGGATTATATTGAACCCCCCCCTTCGATTCCCCCAAGGTCCGCCTCTAAAGCCGCGTTTGCAAGAAGTCACCCCGCGGGCCCACTTTTTGCACCAAGATTCCAGCACCAGGATAGCCCTAAGTCAGTTGCTTTGGGTACATGCTGGGGTCAAAACACCACGTTTGTGAATCCCACACTGTTCTACACATGTACACACCAGAATCAACCCCATCCGCGTTGCAACAATGTGCTGCCCCCAGTTACACGTTGCCTCGCAAACCCTTTAACCTGATATTTATACATATATCTAACTATATGTATGTATTTATATATATATATATGTCTGTGTGTCTGTGTGTGTGTCGTGTCCCCCCTCCCTGAAACCTACCTTTTTGGTACCCGCCCTCGAGTCCAAACCCAGAAGACTTTTTTCGATATCCGCCCCAACTCCACCCACGTCCGTCCGCAGCGGATATGCCTCGTTCCCTTGCTCTCTTCTCCTGTTCCAACCCACGCCTACCTTTCGATCTTTCACCCTTCCCTCTCAAGTACGTATAGCAGGCGGAATTTCTTGGGAATTGTCACCGGAAGGGCTTTGTTGTTTGATAGAACTGAAACACCATAATTCATATATGAACACTGGAATACTCTTGGAACACTTGACCCTGCAATGATGGACGTGAATGAAGGTACTGTTTAGCCTTCTGGCAGTATGGACCTTGGAATTTTCACTTTAAACCAGACATATGGATTGCAGAATCAAGGAGCGGACGTGCATTTCTGAAGCTCGCAATACTCGGAAGTACTCAGGTCTGGAAATTTCGTTTGTCGAAGCAACTGGGAAGCGAGGCCAAACTGGGCAACCTTGAGAAGTGGTGATTTGCCTCTGGCATATTCTTTTGGGCAAACAGTTTCAAACAGTTTCAAACCTTTGAAGATGTTTGAGCCTTGAGTCCAAGTGCTGCAGGTCCTTCGGAAAGATGCATTGTGCTCTGTGCTGGTATCTCAAATGATCTCAACCATTGGGGGTGGTACATCGGTACATCTGGGTACATCCTGAGTTTCTTCCGCAGAGATCAGTTGTGCAGTGCCTCTATTTCCCAAGCGGTGAGGTTAGGCGCCTTTTTGGCCTTGATTTGTGCCATTGCAGCTCTGCTGGAAGAGGCGAAGTGTTTTGCTCTGTGCTCTGAAATTCTTCGCAAAATCCTTTGCTCAGCCTTGGTCAGCCTTGGTCTTTTCACTTTGCCTTTGAAGGTTGTTGATGGTAATGCAAAGGTGTTGGGCTTGGAAGAATTGGTGTGCACCGGTATGACTCGGTATGCGGCCAAAAATGCTTGAACATCTTGATCTAAGGCAATGGCAGGAGCACACCTCAGCACTGGAGCAAGAGCACAGACGGTGTGTGGACAGGCATATGACGACAATAGATATCCCAAGACAAAATGACTATGTTGATTCATTGACAGCAAAACATTGCTTTTCAGGGTCATAAATTTGGACTCATATCCATTCGTCAGTGTCAACTAGAGTTGGCCGTTTGCAACTTCGAGTTGTTTTCGGCAGCAGATTCAGTCAGTTGGAAGTGAAAGAGCAACAAACTTTTAGGTACAGTCTGTACTGTAGATGTTTGATGATCACTGATGTTTGTATTTGTGGTCTATGCTGCTGAACCAAAAATGGCTGCAGCCCCCAAGATGAATGCAGCCTTTTCGAGAGAGAGAGAGAGGGAGAGGGAGCAGTATCTGCAGCCTCTAGTGACTAGTCGTTTCCGTGCTGAGTCGTCGATTCTACGGCGAGCTTCGGCATTGCCATGATTTTGCTCTTCGAGGCGGTCCTTAATTTCCTTTGAGTACACAGAAATTTTGAAACTGCGACAAACACGAAATGACAGGGTGTGAAGACATTGAAACACAATCTTTTGGACTGGTGTGGGTCCCAGGGTGCTGTACCTGCAAAAGGCATCATGGCATCATGAACACAAGAGATCACAAGGGCACAGAGAATACCAAGGAAAACACAGCATCAAGAGCTTTCTTGAAAGCTTTCTTGAGAGCTTTTTCAGAGTGGCCTTTTGCGCTGTGAAGATCCACAGCACAGTGCAGGGATGTGCAGAGCCATCGGCACTATGTAGTCATTTTCTTCCTTGTACAGGGCTCGAGGTCTTCCTTAGGGCCAAACGGCATTCTGACTGCATAGATTTGCAAAGTAGTCCGCCCACTACCAAGGATGCCTCAAATATGATTCCAGAATATTGAATAAGTATGGTTAAACTGGGTGATGTTGCACCATTCCAAACTCTGCAGTGTTGTAGCTGTATGCATTAGTCCGTCTCCTTAAGTTTGTCAGCAAAGACGTGCGTGCTTGGATATTGCTGATCGCGCAACGCGCGAATTTGTGAGATTGTGATGCAGAATGCAGGCAGTCTCAGAGATGGACGGAAGGCAATACCTCGCCAGTAGCAAGACGCACAGACCAAATCCTGAATTTGTCCATTCGATTTGACCCTTCCCTTTCTGATTTTTTGTTTTTTTTTTCTGTTGCACCAAAACAGTTTTCATTTTACCCTCAACCAATTGAGGGGAAGTCATCATTGCGCTTATCAGTGTCATTGCTGACCCACAGCCTTTTTAGTGTTTGTTTGGGCAGATTCTGCCTGTGAAGCCCATAGATTTGCTGCATGATTCTTTGCTACTGGCTACTTGGCAAGGCATGGCAAGGCATGGCAAGGCGTCAACCCTAACGCAGTATGGATGCAGTGCCCACTGTCGTGCAGCCGGATTTTGTAGTGCTCAAGCAACGTCCAAAGAAGATTGGCACATTTAAATCATTTGATCAGATAGAATTTCCTTTGCAAACATGAGCACCTTCGTGTACCTGGGTCGTAGTACTCGATGTTGCAATATGCCGCAATGATAGCTGTTTTTCGAACGACAATCAGGTCACATCACAGGCCTAGAAGCTTCAACGCAAAACATTGGGGTGGACCACGTCAATGGTTTGAATGAACAAATCAAAAAACTTACAAGATCATGAAATAACGCTGTAACCAGAAGTGCTCTGTTTGAGATGGAGTTGCTCTGTCCTACAGCTTTTGTGACGTCAAAGGTTGTTTTGGTGTAAATGCGGTCTGTCAACTTTCTGACATGCTGTGATGTGCTGTGTACACATTGCACACATGACTAGCATTTGCTGCGACCTTTTCATTCTCCTGTTTCCTGCACCCCGTTTCCTCATGGAGTGGTCTGGCCGCGGAGAGACCAGAGATGGTTCTTTGGTGCAGGACTGGAACACTCAAGGGTGAGCAGGCTGTAAAGGCAAAGCAAGACTGGATCCAGCTTGATCTAAATGATTTGATACACTCAAATATAGCCACTGGACCTGTGTCAATGAGAGCACAAAAGGCAATCTGTATCTGAAGAAGTTAATTTACTCATTGCAACATATTGATCAATACGAAGCAAACGGACTCTGTGTCTGACTGTACTCCTGCCTTTCTGGTACATTCTGGTACGTGAAACAAGACATTGGAGGAGTCACTCTCACTGAGAGATCGCGTAGCACAGAATCCTGTGCCTTACCAAGCCTGTGCACTGGCTCTCATCCTTCTTGGTCTCGTGTGCCTTAGCTTTGGGACTCTCAGCTGCGCTTGCCTGCAAAATCAACAACAGCTCTTGATTGGTTCTTGATGAGATGACGTCAGATGTGGTGTCAGCTCTGGCATCTGTAATGCATGATGTGTATTGATTTGTATGGAGTGGTAATTCAGCGCTTTCGCAGATTCTCAGGATGCATGATAGCGGCTTGATGCCCGCTCTTGAGCAGCGGCCCGAGCAGGGCTTTTGCTGCTGGCGAGACCATCCCATCCCTTTCTATGCTGGGGACCCGTGCGAGTGTCCTGCCGAGCATCGTGGGGACTACCCCTGTCCACCACAGGGCTGCAGTCAGGGTCCTGACACGTGGCAACGGGGGCCAGGAACACCGACCAATACCAAGGAGAGAACAACCGGAAACGGAATCAGCATGAACCATCCAAGAAATTGTACAAATTGTCATCAAACTGAACGAACTGACGAACTGTAACTGCTCCTCATTGATTTCACGACTTTCATGTTGAAGTGTATTTGGCCCTGTGAGATTCATTTGATGAACAGCCAAGCAGAAAAGCATAGAAAAGCGAAGCATGTCAGCAGCTTCTAAGTCGAATCATGTTGGATGTGACCATAGAGTCTGGAGGAGTTTTGCACATCCAACATTGGAGCGGGCTCCTGGTGCCCAAGCGACAGAAAAGCCTTCCCAGTCAACGAAGCATCAACCTCCTTCTGTTGTTGGCGCGACCATCCAGCCTCTTGACCATGCATTCGACCGTGAAACGAAGCCATGTGCGACATTTGGTGCCAGGTGACATTTTCGACGTTGTTTCGTGATGTATGATTCTACGACCCTTCAAACTTGCAAACAAGATCAAACTAGAATGATGCAAACGAGAGCTGGAAGTGCAGAAACTGTTTCTGCTTGTGACTCTCTTTGATGTCAAAGAAACACTCTATTTCTAGTGTCTTCACGTGCTTTCATCCTTGTTTCGTCCTTTCGATTTGGATGACTCTATCCACATTTTGTTGGAATCTTCTTTTTGTCTCCCGTGTTTTTTTTTCGGAAATTCATTTCAAGTGTCTGAGTCAAATGACTCCCTTGCCCAGGTGCCCTCCATCTCGTCCCTGTGAAAGTGAAAGTCCTTCCCTTTCTAAACCTCAGGGATTGTTTGCCTCAACTCATCTCAACTCTCTCCCTTTGCTCTCTGTCTGCTCTCTGTCCGCTCTCTGTCCGCTGTGATCCGAATTGAGCCTCTCGAGCCTCTTGCGCTCTGAAGTCTTCTTCCAAGGTCCCGGGCTATTGGGGCGATCCGTGTCTCAGCTGTGATTTGTGTTTATGTCTAATTATGTGTTTATGTGGTCCAGCCAAGTCTTTCTCAGAAGTTATCAGTGAACGGCGTCCTGTTGTTTGTTGGAGAAATGCCTAGCTCAAGCTCTTTTTCCACCATATTTTATTCTATTGACTTGGAATACTTTCTCACGGGAGCAGTCTCGAATCCTCTGCAGACTAAGTGACTTATATATGGCTTATAATATGTATAATTAATATATATATATATATATAATATCTAAACATATGTGTATATATAATATATATACATATATATATGTATACACATGCACATATACATTGTATAAGTGTCTTGAATCGGATACAGTGGAGGTGCAATTGTCCCGCTGAGCATCGTGGTGACTACACGTGTCCTCAGGAGCGGAAGGGACATGGACATGTTTTGACCAGATTTCACGAGATTTGACTAATGCATACTAATGCCATTGATTCAGCGATATTTAACTCTCGCTTCACTGATACTTGTGGACATTGCCATTGTCTTCATGCTCCCTGGGCTCTCTATTGCCTAATTCTTGGTCTCTATTGCCTAATTCTTGGTGGAGGATGGGTGCACGGACTCAACTGGTGCCAAATGGCAGCGTGGTTCAAAAGCCCCTTTCGTGACATGGCTGAAGATGTTGGACTGATCAATTCACAGTGTAGAGATGTGTAGTCAGTGTAGAGGGGTGCCTGGTTCAGGTTCCAGCGAATACCGGGAGGACGCCAAACACAAAGGGACATGTCTGAATTGTTCTTTCTCAAACTTTTGTGCCTGGAGGCCAATGAGGAAAATTACTGTTGCTTGGACAGCAGCAGTTGGCATTTTTTTTCCCGTGCATGTCTTGAATTGAAGGTAGACGCTTGCACGAGGAAGGAAAGAAAACTAGACTAGACGAAAGCTGATGGCCTCAGGCATTTCATTCTGATATACATTTATAACATCATTTATATACTGTACTTCAAGTGCTCCAATGATAGCATCTGCTACTAGTAAACACATTTAGGGTCTCTGCTTAAACCATCTTAAACCAAGGTCGGAGCATGTCCAACATTGCAGCATGGTGTCCGGGATGAAAAGACTCCACCGGAGGGACCAAAGGTCCAGATTTCCGAAGAGTCCGCCGGTACACTTAGACTTGTAGGCCTTCCACTTCCATCGCTTGTTTCAACTTGCTTCAGTACAACTTGCATTGCAACCACTGCAAAGGGGTGTGGTTGAAAGGTTGAAACTGGGCACCCCCCTCAAATGGCTATCTTGATAGGTAAAATAGGGTGGCATATTTTGATAAAAACATACAAAACTGATGATAACATATGACATATGGCTATAAAGCACTGGATTTCGGGGTTGAAGGTTGAAGTGGAAGGCCAGCCTGGATGGCGAAGTCTTGACGGCTTTGCTTGGCTTCACTTTGTTTGTTCTAGGAAAAGATCCGACTCTTGAGCTGTTTAGAACCGAGTTTCATAGATTTTCCAGGTGATGCAATACAAGATCCTAAGCTACATTTTTTGAGTTAGCGGCTACAAAAGCATTGGATTTGAGGCCAAACACATGGAACATTAATTATGGAAACATGAAGCCTTCATGAAGCAGGCATACGACAGCATTCTACCTGACCTCCGTCCAAGCCTTGATGTCTATCGAAGCGTCACAATGTCGGCCCAAGCAGCACAGTTTGGATTGTGGTGTTAACATTTTGAAATATTTCGAAATAAAAAAATGTATCCACTACGTATACTGTACATCATTTGAGTTCCTTTCCGGTCGTTCCCAACTAGGAATCCTTTACCTTGACCAAATTTGCAGCCTTTGCATAGCCTTTGCAGTGGAAGTGGAAATTAAGTGGAAATTAAGACATTTGCCAAATTTGTATTCTCTGCTGTGATGCACTGACCAGCATGGCGTTGTTCAAAGCGTTGTTACTCGTGGCAATCCGCGATGCTTGGTTTTTCATGGTTTTTCTATGGCAGTGAGCCTTTCTCAATTTTGGAAGGAATCGGGTTGAACTGGGGGAGTGGCCAGGTTAGTTGATTAGTTGAGTTGAATGGAGCATGTCAGGGAGCAGTATGGTGGGTGACAGGGCTGTTTCAGTGAGCTAGCCATTGAATGAGGGAGAAACAAGGAGAAACCTAGTTCTCAAGCTCCTTTTGACGGATCAGTTGCTGATACCCTAATCACCAATCCACTACTTCAATACTTAGGAAATCTTAGGAATACTTAGGTGTATTCTCTCTTACTGGCTTATTGCCAGGGACCTGAACACAGATCGTGGAATGTTGACACTAGATCAATGACCGCCCGAAAGTTTGAGAGCAAGTAGAAATAAAGCCGAAAAGCCGAGATGGTGATAGCTGAACACAGGTTGGTGGACAAGTTGAAGAATGATGAAAGATGTTAAAAGATGTTAAGCATGTCTGCACTTTTACTTAGCTTTCTTGTCACAGCTGAGGATGCCTTGGCATTGCCTGAGTCCTGCGAGGTCTCGTCTGTGGGTGCAGGTTGGGCTGGAGTGTACTTCGCCTTTCGTCACGCTTTGAATGGCCAAAAAGTTTGCATCTTTGAGAGCTCCAAAAGAATCGGTGGTCGTACCTACTCCCATCGCCTCCAAGCATCTGGGGAGTGGTTCACCTTGGATGTAGGAGCTTACCGCTTTTCTCCTGATATGCACCTGCCTGGAGATGTGATCAACTTGCTGGGCTTCAAAACTGCATGCTATGAACCGAGCTGCCCTCCTGCTTCAAAGGAGTTCCCACCCCCCTTTACGTTCAAGTACACTGCGCCTTTGAGACGAATCGTAGATGAAGAAGGAATGCCAGCAGGTTATGTCACAGCAATTCGAGGCATGGTGGATCGAATCTTGGCTTCAGGTGGACAGCTCTTTATCGATGCCAATCTTACAGATTTACAAGCACTGCATTCAGGCGAAGTACGTCTAAAATTTGGCTCTCAATCTGTGCTCACCAAGATGGTCTTGCTCAACTTGCCTCGAGCGTCATTTCTTGGGTTGCCATCTTTGCGCGCAGCTACCCCAAGCCGCACTGTGCAGATGGCAGAATGCGTGAAGTTTGACACACCTACAAAGTTCTTCCCCCCAGGTTCTTTCAGCTTGGGCAAAAGTCTGGCAAAGGCTTATGCATTCTACAAGGATGCCTGGTGGCACAACCACCTGAATCTGACAGTTGGTCAATGGCCAGCCAATGCCTTTGAGCCAGCGCCACTCTCAGGTCTTGAACTCTTGCAGTGTGCCAGAGTTTGCAAGTAACTCATTCAACAATTCTAGGTAACTCTTCCAAGTTCTTCCCATACTGGCTATTTTGCCCACAGCTTCTTTTAACCATTGGATCCCTAGGTAAACACCAGTGAGGGTATCCCAATTGGCATCCATTGGAATGATGGCTAGAGCCTTGGGATCGGAATATTCAGTGCATGTTCTGCTGGTCAGCTGTGGTGAGCCTTTCCTGTTCTTTCCTCTCCTGGCATCGTTAGGCCCAGTGCGCTGCCATGCGCCCCTGCAAGGGTGCCGTGGCTTCCTTGAGGCGCCCGGAGAGTGCCACAGAGAGCCTTAAGGTCACTGCTTTGACAGCCCTGGATTTCGGCCTTGACGGCCTTGACGGCCTTGACGGTCTTGATTTGTTGTCAACAGGTCTTCTACTCTGCTGCCAACGAGGAGAGATACTTCGGCGAAAGAAACAGTTGGATATTTTTATCATTTTTTATCTGCTCTCGGTGACTCAAGCTGCACTTGTTGCTGCCTTTGCTGCTACCTCGTTACCTAGTCCCACTGCACTGCTTGAATCTGCTGGACTTGATTCTGGATATTTTGATTATTTTGGTGTTCAGAGTCTTTCAGGACTTTTTCGAGGATTTGCGGCCGAATGACTTGGAGCCCCTGGGCATTCTCCAGGGTGAGGCTAGATTTCGGCTTCGACGCAGACATATAAAGACAATCAACCTTTTGGTTTGTCCTTTCAAGATCCTGCCAGGGTTCTGCTGCGAAGCTCAAGAGGCATGGGATCATTACACATGACTAATAGAATGGAAGTCATGCAGCTTTGACATGCTTTGAGGTTTGCATCCTGTCCTGCTGAAGTCTACTGATTAGCAAAACTGCTCTACTGTTCGAAAAGTTTTTAGTGATTGCTACATATTGCAACATATCGCATCATATTGCTACTAGATCTGTGTGTTGAGTAGGCTTCACGCAGCAGTCATGGAGGCGAGGGATCCACAGCAGATGAAATCTATTGCAGCTCTTGATCTGAGCTTCTTGACGTTTCTTGAAATTTCTTGAAATCCCAAAGCTTCCAACTGGAAGCCGTGGAAACATGCATCTTGTGATCCCACTTTCTTTCACGCCGTGAAGTTTTTATCCAGGCCACCAAGCCACTCTTCGAGAACCGATCTATTTCACAGCCTGAGGAGATGCGAATGCCGAATCCATCCGAATCACATCCGAATCCTCTAGCTTTTTGAGACACCCATGACAGAGCTGCAGAGAGGAAACCCGAAACATCCTAAAACATTTACTTGCTCCATAATCCGTGAAAGACATGGTGGTAATCCTTGTAAGATCGTAAGTCAAGTGGTCTAAGTGGGCAAGATTCAACCCAGATTTCTCATTTTTCCTCTTTGTGACCCTTTTGCTTCGTTTCTGCTATTTTCCGCTCTTTGACCACATCTTGTGAATTGTGACTGTATCCAGAAGTGATAGCAGGAGCCTCCTACAATGCTTGTGGTTGGCATTTGGGATCGAACTGGTCATGGCTACACTGCCCCAACGAAGGCATCTTCACTGTGTCGGAGACCTTCTAGGATGTTGAAGAGAAGTTGCTTGTATCTGTTTCATCTCCACAAAGAACACACTCGAAAAACACACACACACACACTTCCACCTCTTTGCTGTTTGTGGCATGAAGGGCACGAAGGCAAAGAAAAGTCCAAAGGTGTTCCTTGAAGTTCCAAAAGCATTCTTTAGCTCTGTCATATCCAGTGAATGATCTTCAAGGACATTGAGCTTTCCTTCTGTTCTGTTTGAATCTGCATGCGTAGTCTGCGTAGTCATCATTCTTTTTTGCAGTTTTGGATCTCTTGTCTTCGAGAGTCAGGTCTATTACAGCCTAGACAGTAGCACCCCTGGTGGTGCCGACCCATTAGAGAAAGCCTGTGGTCGGAAGCTTACCAAGATCAAGACTGAAGTAACTGTACTGCTTCCTGCGCAGCATGGCCAAGCGCAGCACTTGAAAACAAGAAGGTGTTCAAAACATGTTCGTGTTCAGAACCAGCAGCTCAAAGGAGCTCAAAGGAGCTCAAAGACTCGTCCAGGTGTCTCTGGCTTAACTGACAAAGAATATCGAGACTCACTGCTGTGGGGCACCTCATTCTATCCTCAATCGTTTCGATGTCAAGCAACCTTGCGGCCTGAACGTACTTCTCATTGCCTCCACATACCCAGAATCCTGCCATTGCAATGCCTACTCCCAAACCAGCACCCATGGAACATCCTTCACGCCTGATCAGACTTCTGAACATTGTAAGTTCAGCAGTTTGTTGCGCTTTGTTACAGTTATTTTAGTTGCTCTGAGTCAATGGTTCGTTTGAATTCCAAGGTTTCCACTTCCAGAACTGAAGCAGGTCGTGCTGGCGAACAATGTCAGTACCCCAACAGGGACAGAAATGAAGAGCACAAAGAGCGACACCTCACGAAATTCTCAAAGCTTAAAGTGACTTCCAAGACTGAGAACTCACGGAACAGCAAACCACTGAGATGAACTCTGCAAGTCCAGTTTGAAGAATGTGGAAGATTGTGGAAGCACAGTCTAGCCAAGCATTCAACGAGAATCAACGAGAATCAACGAATCAACGTGGTCAGCTCTGCTTTAGGATTGGTCTGCAATGCCAGTGGAGAAGATGTTTGGAGATTGGGCTGAAGAAAGCGAGAAACTCAAAGGACAGACGAGAAAATATGGCCAAACACGGCTACTACCTGGGAGTACAGACTACAATCTCCAACCCGTCCTTTGTCCAGCTCAAGGACATTAAAATCATTCAAGTATAGTGCCCGACACTGGATTATTCTGCTGAGACATTCAATCATTTGCGCAAGTATTAAAGCGCAAAAGTCGTCAGCTGATTCGACTTTCAAGGTGTGCAGGATTGATATTTTACCAGATTTTTCCATGTAGATCCCATGAATTCCGAGCCTTTGGAGGTTTGCTGCAAGCGGAGCGTGCTTTGCACGCAAATGGAGTCCCGCGACCATCGTGGCTTGACGAGGAGCTTCGCACAGTCAAAACAGCAGCGGACACGGAGAGACTCTGTCTGTTTCGATTTTGCATATTGGCATCTCTTGGCAACAGCTCATTGGAATTTTGGCCTTCCGGCTTAGACAGAGGTACTTCAAATATTTTCAAATCCGTTGATAGCACAAGTACAGACACAAAAGACATCCGTGGGACCGAGGTGCTTTTTGCTACCGTAAAACGTGGGGTTTGATCACGGTGTGATCTGACCAAGTTAACTTACTGTAGTCCTCACATAGCTTGCCTTGTATGATGCTTGAAAGAGCCAACTTGCTTCTTTTTGCAGCACGTGCAGGACTACTACAACCTGAAGGTGCAACTTGTGTGGATCTGGTAGGTGTTCTAAAGCCAGGATGCGCAGTGGTTTGTTCTATGTATTTTTGAATCTGCAAGTTTCACGTGGCGGAGTATGTAAAGTAGCTTGTCGCTTCATGAACCGCTGTGTGCAATTCTCTGCATGAGTTCCAAACCTTGCTTGGGAATTCCAGCCTATAGAGTGGGCGCACTGAACCTCCACGCCGATCTGGACGCCTGCCAGTTTTAGTTCGATGTGAGCCGGTCAAACTGAGAAGATGCTGTCAATCTTCCTTGCAATATTTGTTGTAGGCTTGAGATCCTTCTGTGTTCTTCAATTAAAATCCTAAATCTCCAGTTCTCATGAGCGTATTGAAGCGCATTGTTTCATTCTCCTTGCAATGAGAAGCTAGTGGCTAGTGCACGACCTATCCGGCAGCGTAAGCCGTGTTTACTATGTTTGCAAATTTAAGCGCTTACGCACGACAGCCGGCCAGGGGCCCAACCATGTTGGCCCATCTTGTGGTATGTTGGCCTATGTTGGCCTCATGTTGACCCATGTTGAGCCAAAAGATCCGAAAAATGGGAACAGCAAAAAAACACTGTAAAACGCAGGATAGTTTGATGGTCGGCGGCCTATCTTGGGGCTATGTTGGCCCATCTCGGGGCTATGTTGGCCCATCTTGGGGCTATGTTGGCCCAGCTTGGAGCTATGTTGGCCCATCTTGGAGGCTAGGTTGGCCCATCTTGAGGCTATGTTGGCCCGTCTTGAGGCCCATGTTGGCCCATGTTGACCCATCTCGCCACAAGATCCGAAAAATGGGGAAAAAAAGGGAAGAGCAAAATACCCTGTAAAACCCAGGGTATTTTGGCCTGACGGAGTGGGTCGGCGGCAGGGGGCGCAGCCCCTCTCTCCTACGGAGAGGAGAGAAACGCCTTCGGCAATGCCGCGGCCAGGGGGCCCCTGGCCGGATTTAAGCGCTTACGCGCGACAGCCGGCCAGGGGCCCAACCATGTTGGCCCATCTTGTGGCGATGTTGGCCTATGTTGGCCTATCTTGCGGATATGTTGGCCCAGCTTGGGGCTATGTTGTCCCAGCTTGGGGCTATGTTGGCCTTTCTTGAAGGCTATGTGGCCGATCTTGAGCCCTATGTCGGCCGATCTGGAGGCCCATGGTGACCCATGTGGAGCCAGAAGACCCGAAAAATGGAAACAGCAAAAAAACACTGTAAAACGCAGGATAGTTTGATGGTCGGCGGCCTATCTTGGGGCTATGTTGGCCCATCGTGGGGCCCCGTGGGGCTATGTTGGCCTATCTTGAGGGCGTGGGCCCATCTCGGGGCTATGTTGGCCCATCTTGGGGCTATGTTGGCCCAGCTTGCAGCTATGTTGGCCCATCTTGGGGGCTAGGTTGGCCCATCTTGAGGCTATGTTGGCCCGTCTTGAGGCCCATGTTGGCCCATGTTGACCCATCTCGAGCCAAAAGATCCGAAAAATGGGAACAGCAAAAAAACACTGTAAAACGTAGGATATTTTGATGGTCGGCGGCCTAGCTTGGGGCTATGTTGGCCCATCTTGGGGCTATGTTGGCCTATCTTGAGGGCAACGTGGGCCCATCTTGGGGCTATGTTGGCCCATCTTGGGGCTATGTTAGCCCATCTTGGGGCTATGTTCTTGGGGCCATGTTGGCCCATCTTGGGGGCTATGTTGGCCCATCTTGCGGCCTATGTTGGCCCATGTTGACCCATCTTGAGCCACAAGATCGGAAAAATTGGAAAAAATGGGAAGAGCACAAAACACCGTAAAACGCGGGGATTTTTGGCGACAGGCGGTCTACGGCGGCAGGGGGCGCAGCCTCTCTCTCCTACGGAGAGGAGAGAAACGCCTTCGGCAAGCACACGGCCAGGGGGCCCCTGGCCGGATTTAAGCGCTTACGCGCGACAGCCGGCCAGGGGCCCGGCCTATGTTGGCCCATCTTGTGGCTATGTTGGCCTAGGTTGGCTGAGATTGGAGCTAAGTTGGCCCAGCTTGGGGCTATGTTGGCCTATCCTGAGACCTATGTTGAATTGCCCCATGTTGAGCCAAGAGATCAGAAAATGGGAACAGCAAAAAAAACACTGTAAAACGCAGGATATTTTGATGGTCGGCGGCCTATCTTGGGGCTATGTTGGCCCATCTTGGGGCTATGTTGGCCCATCTTGAGGGCAATGTGGGCCCATCTTGGGGCTATGTTGGCCCATCTTGGGGCGATGTTGGCGCATCTTAGAGCTATGTTGGCCCATCTTGGGCTATGTTGGCCGATCTTGGGGCTTTGTTGGCCCATCTTGAGGCCTATGTTGGCCCATCTTGAGGCCTATGTTGGCCCATGTTGACCCATCTTGAGCCACAAGCTCCGAAAAAGGGGAAAAATGGGAAGAGCACAAAACACCGTAAAACGCGGTAGTTTTTGGCGGGCTTGGGTCTACTGCGGCTGGGGCGGCGGCCCTCTCTCCTACGTTGACGAGAGAAACGCCTACGGCAATGCCACGGCCAGGGGGCCCCTGGCCGGATTTAAGCGCTTACGCGCGACAGCCGGCCAGGGGCCCAACCATGTTGGCCCATCTTGTGGCGATGTTGGCCTAGGTTGGCTGAGCTTGGAGCTACGTTGGCCCAGCTTGGTGCTATGCTGGCCCATCTTGAGACCTATGTTGTCCCATGTTTGCCCAATGTGGAGCCAAAAGATCCGAAAAATGGGAACAGCAAAAAAAACACTGTAAAACGCACCATATTTTGATGGTCGGCGGCCTATCTTGGGGCTATGTTGGTCCATCTTGGAGCTATGTTGGCCCATCTTGGGGCTATGTTGGCCCATCTTGAGGCCTATGTTGGCTCATCTTGGGGCTATGTTGTCCCATCTTGGGACCCCGGAAGAATCGGCAATAGTATGATGGTATGATGGGATCAAGCCAGTGCCATGACAAAAAAGGGCCTAACGCCACTTCTGAAATCCGACTAGAAAATAAAAGTAAAAGGTTGAAACTTTGCCGCCTGCTGCTGGCTGGTGCTGGCTGCTGCTGGCTGCTGCTGGCTGCTGCTAGCTGCTCCCTGCTGCTGCCTGCTGCTGCCTGCTGCTGCCTGCTCCTGCCCCTGCTGCTGCCTGCTGCTGCCTGCTCCTGCCTGCTGCTGGCTGGTGCTGGCTGCTGTTGACTGCTGCTGGCTTAGGCTATTCCCAGAGAATCCTAGACTATATATAGTACTGGCTGCCTGCTGGCTGCTACAAAAACGTGGGTCCCGGACAGGGAAACACCATAGCAGTGAAGGACGGAGGCAGCTGCTGATGCTGCTGCTCTTGCTGTTCCTGCGCTGCTGCTGCTCTTGCTGTGCCATCAACCAGCCTCCAAGGCGAGAAACCAACAACCAGACATCTTTTTCGAAACACACGAAACAGCAAAACACCACCTAATTTCGTGCCGAAAATGACGCAAAATCGCAGCAAAAAACTACCTAGCGTGTCTTCTGAAATCGTAGAGAATCCTAGAGAATCCTAGACTATACATCCTAGAAAATCCTAGACTAGATATAGTACTGGCTGCCTGCCTGCTGCTACAAAAACGTGGGTCCCGGACAGGGAAACACCAGAGCAGTGAAGGACGGAGGCAGCTGCAGCTGCAGCTGCCGCTGCTGGTGCTGTCGTCCGCTGATGCTGCTGCTGTTGCTGCTCTTGCTGTTCCTGCGCCTCCAAGGCGAGAAACCAACAGCCAGACATCTTTTTCGAAACTCGTACTCCTCGTCGTCGTCGTCGTCGTCGTAGTAGTAGTAGTAGTCGTCGTCGTCGTCGTCGTCGTCGTCGTTGTCGTAGTCGTAGTCGTAGTCGTAGTCGTAGTCGTAGTCGTCGTAGTAGTAGTAGTAGTAGCAGCAGCAGTAGTAGTAGTAGTGGTAGTGGTAGTGGTAGTGGTAGTGGTAGTGGTAGTGGTGGTAGTAGTGGTGGTAGTAGTAGTGGTAGTGGTGGTAGTAGTAGTGGTAGTGGTAGTGGTAGTGGTAGTGGTAGTGGTAGTGGTAGTGGTAGTCGCAGTAGTAGTAGTAGTAGTAGTAGTAGTAGTAGTAGTAGTAGTGGTAGTAGTGGTAGTAGTGGTAGTAGTGGTAGTAGTAGTAGTAGTAGCAGTAGTAGTAGTAGTAGTAGTCCGACAAGGGTCAAATGTCTTATTCCCTGGCGCGCTCCCCCTTGCGTCTGCCGGGGTCGGCGGATATCAGTGCAACTCAAATGTCGCTGCGCAGGTGGTTGGTGAAGCAGTTGTGACCTTCGTTTGATGTGCGTGTACTGACCGTATCGATGGTTTATTGCTCTCATTTTCTCTTGGCTTCTGACCAGATGCCGTTTCGTGTACTGTTTGGGATGAAAGGCCCCTAGGTCCGCCGCGGCTGCTTCCATGTAGGCATTTTCTGATGAAGTCGGAAATGCAGCTGTCCTGCGAAGCAAAAGTTGACCGCTTCCAGCGACAGATGTCGATTAGCAAGTGTGACATACTCGTAGCTTGCTTTATGTTTGCTGATTAATTGGACAACTCGAACCCAGTCAGCACCTGTTTGCAAGCATTTTTCTGGCAACTGCTTTCTGGAAATTGCCACGTTTCAAACATCTAGCCGGGATATGCTTTCTGACACTTGCACGTGCGTATCATTGTGCTTTTGCAGTTCTCCAATAGTTTCGAACCACTCCAGCAATGATTGATGAAGATCGTGTTCATGATTCAATGATCAGTTGGCCCCAAAGGCTTCGAATACTTGAATGCTTGACTGATCTTGACTGTTTAGTTGCTGCGACTCTCATGATCTATTTTGGAGCCCCAGGCGTCTCAAGGATAGGCATTCGGACTTCGCCCTGGCTCAAAACTGCCAGACTAGACCATGGAACTGGGGATGATGGTGTCTGGAAAGCCACAGACTTCAGACCCTGAGAGACTCTGAGAGATTCTCAGACTGTAATCCAACTTGAGAGCCACGATTCCTTCACAAGATCTTGCAGAGCTCCAGCCTCTTTCATCTCAGGATCACACCAAGATGCTACCAGGTAAGCAGGAATGGTATCGAGATGCTACCGACTATAGTAAGATGGCGGCAGATTGCAGCAAGACTAGCAAGAGCACCGTTCCAGCACCCAGCCATGACTCGACACTTGGTGGAGCTCTTGTGCTCCATGGGACTGATGGACTGGGAGAGCGGGCAGCGCGTAGTCCCCTGGACAGATCAAGCCACAAGAGAAGTCCTTGTACCAACAGTTTGACAATCGGTGCCATACCATACCATAAAGTAACAATATTCATCATCCAATCTCTTTGAATCAAATCCATGCAGCTGACAAAGGTGATGCAGGTGTGGTGCGGTGTTGTGCCCTATGTGCCAAAGATTACTTTCCCTCATTTTCCATCACTTTTCTCTACTTGCTTTCACTTTCGCTGCTTGCCGCACAATGAGTTCCTCCAAGCGGTCGCGGTGGAGCAGGGTCTGCAGTGATCCTGTGCCAATGTACTCACAGCCAAGATCTTCATGTTCCCCCATGAAGATGCAAAAAACAAAAAACACCGGGCAGAAGCTGGGCCTCAAGAGGTATGTTTCCCATTCCCCGCTCCTTCCTTGCTGTGCTGCTGATGTTGTTTGCGATGCCAGCCGGCGCCGCTGACTGCAAAATGCTACGTGACTTGGATGCACAGCAAGATGGCCTGATGGGCCAACACGGCTTCTCTGGCCCCCTGGGTAACCCGTCCGGGGCACTTGCTGTCGTGGTGCTATTGCTGATGGGAGAAAAGGGCGGAACTCACCTGCAATTAATCGTGTTGGTTTCCCCACGCCCTGTGAAGAGACAGTCGGATGGTGTGTAGCTGTTTGGCGCGCTCGGTGGTTCTTGTCAATGTTGGCGGCATCTCTCGAGAAGAGATTTATGAGAATATCATCGAGATCTTTGATTCCTTTCACAGGCATGGCTTTTTGCCCACCATAGGCTACAGCAAAGCGTTTGACTGTCTCGATAGCGATCTTTCTTGCAGTTTGCTCCGAGCCCGTGGCTGGCCTCCCCGCCTTGTCAATTTGTTGGAAGCCAGTTGGAGTCGACAGGAAAGGTTTGTCCAGTGGGATCATCGCGCTGAGGCTGGCAGTTTAGATGCCAGTCGCGTTCAGCCCCAAGGTGATTCTTGGGGACCGCTGCTCATGAGTTTGTGGGTGCAAGCGGGGGTTCAAACTGTGTTAAGTTCTTGTGAAACGCATCCAAACAAAATGTCTATCAAAACCTATCTCGATGATCGGTCTTGCACTGCTCGAAGTGCCCAAAAGCTTCACGAGATTTATCTTGCTTGGTCGCAGTGGAGTTCCACGGTCGGTCTTTATGAAAATCTTGCGAAATGTGAAGTTTCTGCTGTTGGCAGACTTAAAATGGTTCAAGCTTCTCAGGTCTTTGATCCTGCCAAAGTCTCCCCTGCCTGCCATCAGGGTGCTGGGTGCTGTCTCCTGCTCTGTCCGTCGCGCTTTTCACGCTAAGGAAGTCCGTCAGTTTGAGTCTGCCAAAAAGTGTGCTCGCCTCCTGCGGTGCTGCGGCTTCTCTCTCGAGGTCCAACTTCGGTATCTGCGCCAATTCTCTCTCTCGAGGGTCAACTTTGGGTGGGTGGGTCGTGCCCCCTACTTGGACCTCGTCCTGCTTTTGGTCTTCTGCTCGCACTTGGCTCCTGTCTCTCTTCCTTGGGGGTAACCTCCACTTCGATATTGTTGGGGCAACTCGGCTCCTGTCGGCCGTCTTTCGGTTCCGTTTCTCTAAAGATCGTGGTCCTGCTTGGTCCCTGGCGTCTGGTACCGCATCTCAGGCTCTGCGCTCTTGGATGCGGTTCAAAGGTTTCGTTGAGGTGGTCGTCCATGGGTCTGGCGTCACGATTTCGCCGTTGTCTTGGTCGATGCTTCCGTCCAACCCACCCATCAAACTCTTGAACCTCTTGTGGGGGCTGCTTGTCATTTCTGCAGGCAAGGTTGGCGTTCTTGGGTTTTCGAAAAGAGGGCTCGTTCGGGGCGTCATCTTCTCTTCCCCCGCTCAATTCCTCTGTCGTCCGTGCCATCCGGGTTGACGATGTACGTGCTTGGGTGCTGTCCTCTGCCTCGGCTGCCGCTGTCGGTTTGGGTGCCACCTTCTCTCCTGCACGCTTCAAAGTCTTATTCCACTTAACAGGTACTGTAGACGATCAAAATCTCATGAAAAAATTACCAAGTCTCATCATTTTTGATGGCGCAAAGGCTATTTACCGTCAACTTGATGACACATTATTTAAGCTTGAGACTGCACGTTTTCGTCACAAAAAAGATTCCATTCAAAAGTGGAGATGCCGAATGCAAACATCAGCTTCAAAATGCTACAAGTGGCTCAAAAAGTTCACTTTCACGCCCTTCCAAGGTTTAATTTCTCATAAGTTAAGTCACTTTGAACCTACTACTTGTATCAATGATTCCTTGATGCTCATTCGCGATCACTGGCGTTTAGTTTGGCATCGTCAGCTTAGTCATGACCACAGGTCTTTCCAGAGAATTGACCGTGAAATTTCTCTCCTGCAAGGATTAAATGATGAACCTGCCTGGGGTCCAATGTCACATTGGCAACTGCATGAAATCGCTTGTAAAATGAATCAGAAAGCTGCTGGACCCGACTCTTGGACTGGTTCCGAAGTTGCGTCATTGCCTCCTGAGGCTTACCAACTGTTTGCCGAATTCTGTCATTTTTGTGAGATGGCAGGAAAATTGCCCAACTCTTGGAGCTGTGCTTCACAAGTTCACATTCCCAAGGGTCAAAAAGGTTTACGTGAAGATGGTGCTCGCGATATTAGTGGATTGCGACCGCTGGCAATCTTCTCAGTGTGGTACTGGGCCTCCTCAAGACTGCAATGTTAAGAATGTCAAAGTTGGATTAATACTTGGTGGCCTGACGCAGCCATTGGTGGTAAAAAGGGCATGGAAATCTACCATGCTCTCATCCCTCTAATCACTGCTGCCGCCAGTGATGAGTATCTAGTTTCTTTAGATTTCTCGCTCGCTTTTGACCATTGCCACCCCGACCTTGCCCTTCACGTGTTGAAAAGATTAAAATTGCCATCTTTCATGGTCACCATGCTGTTTGACCAATGGAGCAACCAACAAAGATTTATCTCATTTCAGAATTTTGTCTTGCCCGAGCCCGAACATGTTAGTAGTAGCCTTCCACAGGGTGATCCATGTTCCTTGATTGCCATGGTTGCTACTCTGTGCCCGGCCTCTTGGGAAATTGCCAGATGTTATCCTTCAGTGACACAACGCAATTTCGTTGATGACAGACACTGGTCATCCCGATCTGTTGAGGATGCCATGGCTGTTCTTTCTAGATGGGACGAATGGACCCGTCTCCTTGGCCTTGTAGAAAACAGTGACAAATCTCAATTTTTCCATGCCAGACCAAAATGTCGTCGTGCTCTCAAAGAGGCTGGTGCACCCGAGGATAACATCACTGATCAAATTTGTATTCTTGGTCACTTCTTTCAGCCTTCCCAGCAACGCAAATTGCACAAGAAAGAGCAGGATCGTATCGATGCGTCCCTGTCACTTGTGAAACGTGCTTCGTGCTTGCCAATTAGTGTTGCTCACAAAAGATTAGTCATGGCCACTGGTCCCCTGTCAAACATCCAATTTGGATGGTTGATGCATGTTCCCCCCAAGAACATCTTTGACAAATTTCAAAGTGCCATACGTAAAGCTCTTAATGAACCCCGTCGTTCATGTATCCACTTGCGGGATATTATGAGAGGCCACGGTCTCCACATGGGTTTTCGAGTGTTGCAGACTTGCCTTTGTGCTGTCCTTCGATATGTCAAACACTACCAGATACCCTCCTGGTGTAAAAACAGTATTTCCAGTTCCATTTCCAAACAAATGGAACGCATGTCGTGGTTACGTACAGCCACCTGGACCTGGAGACACTCAGTGACAAACGCTGTGATTTCTTTAAATTCCAGATCTACTTATTTTTCCCTTGACGCTGATCTGGTCTTGCACCGATTACGTGAGGGTTTGCATGCACACTCGTGCACATGTTAGCAATCGTCGAATCGCCGTGACGCAGTCCTATGCCAAGACTTTCCTTATGACGAAACCAGATGTGCCAATGCTAGGAAAGCATCTCAAACTACATCGCATGCTTTTGCGATCATTACCGGAGGATATGTTTCTAATGCTTCTTTCCATCGAAGTGATGATGGTCAACGCCTGTGTCCACAGTGTCATGTCATTTCTTCTTTATAACATCATGAGTTTTGGGAATGCCCCCATATACCAAATGCAGCTACTCGTCTTGCAATTCCTGAGTGCATACTCCAACAGCGACTTGGTTGGCCCTCACATGACAAAAATTCAGAAGCTATCTTAGCATGGCAGGTGTCCGTCCGGAAACACCAACTGAATCTGCGGTATAAGCCGCCAGTGCAGAATGCTCCTATGTGATTTCCTTTTTCAGTTGCCCTCGTTGAACACAACTTGATGTGAGTCTTTCCATGGCGTATTTGCTGATGCAATGAATCTCCCATGTATCTGTGACATCTGCTGGATGTCACTCCACTGCGATGATGTCACGCGTGGTCCTCATCGCCTACAAGACTATCTCTCACTTTTTGCTGCTTTCCCTTACTTTGCTGTGCTTACTGTCACCTTTCTCTGCTAACTTTCACTTTCCTTTATTTTCTATCACTTTTGCCTACTTTCTCTTACGGTTTGAATTGCCAAGTACCAGTCCGAACTAGAAAACAACTTTGTCCTGCAAAGTATCAGCCCGTACTAGAAAAGAACTCATGTGTATATACTGTTTTGTCATGGCCATGTTTTGCTAGAAGTCCAATGCATTCTTCCGTGCCACGAAGGTGGGGACTTGACTTTTGGGACATCCGTGTAGGTACCATGGCCATGGCCGGTGACTGTTTCTTCAATTTGAACGACAAGTTCCCAGGGCCGAAAGGCTCGCACGGCTGTGAAGCCCAGGGAAAGTCAACTGGTCAGGGCACCGAAACTTTTGCGGACCAAAGGTGACGCAAAACATTGTTGCGGCTCAAGGGTTCTACCGTCCCACTAGGAAATCCCAGTGTGCCTTGCATTTTGGACTCTCCAGCTATGTCGTCCGAGAATGGCTTTGCCCTCATCGGGAAAAGCTCAGTGACACTTTCCAAAGGTCCAGGTGCCACAGACGACGAGCATTTGAATCATTTAAAGGATGTCAAAAAACAGTTGTTCGCAGCCTGCCGGAAACATCATCCGGATAAACAAGAACCAGGAAAACTTGCGGAACCCACCAGGCAGCAAGACTTGAATGCGGCACTTGCAAAAACCAATAGCAGAATCCAATCAACCGCAGAAAGAATTGAAGAAGAGCAGCAAAGGGCCAGGCACGCGCAAAGTACCTATGACCAGCTGCTGAAATATTTACAAGTGCTGAGGCAGAAGCAAGAGCAAGAGGAACGTCAAAAGAAGGAACAGGTGCAGGAAAAGCAGCGTCAACAAAAGGAAAGGGCGGAGGAGGAGCAGCGTCAAAAAAGGGAAAGGGTGGAGGAAGAGCAGCGTCAAGAAAGGGAAAGGGTGGAGAAAGAGCAGCGTCAAGCGCAAGAAAGAGAGAAGGCCGAAGAGGAAGCAAAGCGTTCTAGGGAGGAAAAGAATCGCCGGAAGCAAGACAGAAAGAAGTGCAGAAAGGCAGAGCAGGCAAGGGAGAGGGCGGCGGAAAAGCAGCGCCAAGAAGAAAAAGAAAAGAGCGAAGCAGAGGCAGCACAAAGAGAGGAGGAGATGCTGGAGGCAGAGGGGCCCGAAAAGGAGCAGAGCGAACAGGAGGATACGGTGGCAAAGACGAGGTGCAGAGAAACAGAAGAGGAGACACTTGGAAAAGAGGCTTCAGAAGAGGAGAAGGGGTCCCAGAAGGAAGAAAAGAGAAGCCCGAGCCAGAAAGAAGTGAACAGGCAGAAGACGCAGCAGGAGCAGCAAGCGAGCGCCAAGAGGAAGGCTTTGCGGGCCGAGAAGGCCAAGCTGGAGGAAGAGCAAAAGAAACAAACTGCCGAGTTGCGACGCAAAGAAGCTCTTCAAGCAGAGGCCAGGCTGAAAGTTGAAATGCAGCAGCAACAAGTTCAGCAGCAGGAGAAAGCTTGGGAGCAGAGTGTGACAAACACTTTGCAGAACTGCCTTCTCAGATGGGCCTTTGATCTAGAGCAGCGTGGAAGTCAGCAAATTGCAGAGTTTCTCCAGGCGAGGTGCCAACAGGTGACGGCCTGTGAGGATGTAGCTCGACAGGTCTATGCGCAAGAAGGCTTCGGTTGGTGGCTTTTGGCCATTCATCGTGTGGGAGCAGGCGAGCACGTCGCTTCCTGTTTGACAGAGCAGCGCGCAAGGCTCAAGCAGATCATCAAAATTTTTTTCCCTCATGCCACAGGGAAAACGCCTCCAGGTGAATGGCTCTTCTCTTCTGTCTATGATGCAGCCCATGCAGAGGCCGCAACAAGACTGCAGAGTTCACTAGGAGGACGGTGAACTGCGGAAGCTTGAGTCTCGATTCCTTCCCAAGATCCATGGCCTCTATTAGGGCCAGCAAGCACGTGGTGGTCATGGAAAGGTGGCAATGGCGCACTTTTTTTAGGTGTGAAACACTGGCCCCCAAAATCTGGTTAAAAAACAATTGGTCCCACAACTTGGTTTCAAGAAAATTTGGCACCACGTGTTGAGTTCAAGAGGCTGGGTCATAGTACAGACAGGTAGCAGCTGACAGGTAGCTTGAGTCAAGAATGCCTGTAGCTGAGTCGCTTGTTGCAAAAGGAGTTGTTGACTTAGCGTTTCTTGGTGTGACTAATTCGATGCATAAGCTCCTGAAGTGATGGAAGCCACAGAAAGTTGACTCTTGACACTGTTTTCCAGCAAAAAAGTGGCTTGCACTGTTTTGTAGATGGAGCGCATGACTTCACGACATTTCACGGCTACACGTGCATGTCAGAAATTCCAGACCAGAGTAGGCAGGACGTCGCTGAGATGGTGCAGTGTACAGATTGAGAAACTCCCACCTCACTCGTCCTGAACCGAATGCGGGTCAAAAAAGTAAGTGCCGGCAGTGCCGGTTGCTCGTTCGTTTCTGAATGCTGTGCAGATGAACTCAAGCAGAATGACCACAGTTTCAATTTCCATTTCCATGGTGTTTTTTCAGTTTTTTGATGCAGAGGCCCAGTGTTTGACGCAGAGGCTACAACTCGATCTTGGCGCTTTCACAGGCATGGGGTTCAAACAAATATTTAAGGCATCAATTCAAAAAATATTTAAGGGATCAAAAAAATATATTCATTTTTCCTGCGCTGGTGCAGTGTTTTGGCCCTTTTATGCCAGTTTCAAATCTTGCGGTCTTTGAATCTCCCGGTCCTTCAGTCCTCTCCCCTGGTCCCTTGCTCCTTTGGTCCCTGGGTCCCTTGCTCCTCTGGTCCCTTGCTCCTCTGGTCCCTTGGTCCTCTGGTCCCTTGGTCCTCCGGTCCCTTGGTCCTCCGGTCTTCTGGTCCCTTGGTCCTTCCGTCCTTTGGTGGCTCTGGTGTCTTAAAACATTTTGAAGATAATCCTTAATTCAACCAGCCGTAAAAAAACCTAAATCAGCCTCAATAACCCCTAAACTAAACCCCAAGCCAAAGTAAGCCTTCAACGAATCCTAAACCAACCCTCAATCAGCCCTAAACTAACCCTAAATAAACCCTAAACAAATCTTACATAAACCCTAAACGAAACCTAAACGAACCTTAAATAAGTTGTAAGCGAAACCAAAATCAATTATACCAGCGTTGACCCCAAACAGATGTAGAAATTTTCAATTATATTGTACATGCGAACCAAGGAACCCAGAGTGGGAGACAAGTAAGGGAGACAAGTGCGGGAGACAAGTAATGGAGACAAGTGTAAACTCAGCCCCAAGAACCCAGAGTGGGAGACAAGTGTGGGAAACAAGAGTGGGAGACAAGTGTGGGAGACAAGCGTGGGAGACAAGTGTAAACTCATGCGCTCCAAGACATCCAGAGTGGGAGACACGTGTGGGAAACAAGTGGGAGACAAGTGTAAAATCATACGGCCCAAGACACCCAGAGTGGGAGACAAGTGTGGGAGACAAGTGAAAACTCATGCAGCCCAAGGCACCCAGAGTGGGAGACAAGTGTGGAAGACAAGTGTGGGAGACAAGTGGGAGACAAGTGTAAAATCATGCGGCCCTAGGCACCCAAGTGTGAGGGACAAGTGGGAGACAAGTGTAAAATTATGCGGCCCAAGGCACCCAGAGTGTGAGGGACAAGTGTGGGAGACAAGTGTGGGAGACAAATGGAAGAGAAGTGTAAACTCATGCGGCCCAAGGCACCCAGAGTGGGAGACAAGTGTGGGAGACAAGGGGGAGACAAGTGTAAACTCATGCGGCCCAAGGCAACCAGAGTGGGAGACAAGTGTGGGAGACAAGTGTGGAAGACAAGTGTGGAAGACAAGTGTGGGAGACAAGTGTGGGAGACAAGTGTGGGAGACAAGTGGGAGGCAAGTGTAAACTCATGCGCTCCAAGACATCCAGAGTGGGAGACACGTGTGGGAAACAAGTGGGAGACAAGTGTAAACTCATGCGGCCCAAGGCACCCAGAGTGGGAGACAAGTGTAAACTCATGCGGCCCAAGGCACCCAGAGTGGGAGACAAGTGTGGGAGACAAGTGGGAGACAAGTGTAAACTCATGCGGCCCAAGGCACCCAGAGTGGGAGACAAGTGTGGGAGACAAATGGAAGACAAGTGTAAACTCATGCGGCCCAAGGCACCCAGAGTGCGAGACAAGTGTGAAAGACAAGCGTGGGAGACGAGTGTGGGAGACAAGTGTAAACTGTAAACTCATGCGGCCCAAGGCACCCAGAGTGGCAGACAAGTGTGAAAGACAAGTGGAAGACAGGTGTAAACTCATGCGGCCCAAGGCACCCAGAGTGGGATGCAAGCGGGGAGACAGAGGCAAAATCATGCGGCCCAGGGATGCAACCCTTTGAAAGGTAAGAACCCCATACAGGTAAACCTGTTTGGGGAACTTTCAACCAATTCGCAAATGATCCCTAAACCAACCCCAAATAAACCCTAAGCCGTAAATAACCCTAAATCCTAAGCAAACAATTTAAACCAACCTTAAAGACACCGGAAACAAGACCTACATAGACTTTAAACCAACCCAAAATAACCCCCACCTAAACCAACCACGAACCCATCCCAAATACATCCTGAATCAACCCTAAATAAACTTTGAGCAGCACCTACACAAATCTTAATACCAACCCTAAACCAACCCTAAATATACCCTAAACAAATCCTAAACCAACCCTAAATAAACAAACAACCAACCCTCAATAGATCCCAAACGAAACCTAAACCACAAAGCCTTGAACGAAATCAAAATAAACCCTAAACCAACCCTGCATAAACACCAAAAAACGTTAAATAACTTTAAATAACATTTGAACGAAACCTAAGTAAACCTTTTACCAACCCTGAATAGACATCACACCTAGTAAACCCTAGGCCAACCCCAAACTAACCCTAAACCAACCTAAGTCAACGTAATAGGCATCAAACCAAGCCTAAATCAACCCTAAACCAAACACAAACAAACTTTAAACCAACGTAAATTTCACAGCAACCATCGAAAATCAAAGATTTGAACTCCAAAGTGTTGCAGGTGCTGTCGAAACGGCAGCGTCGAGCCCTGCGAATGCTCGATTTCTAGGTCCAATGTCCTGCAAAAACCTTCCGGGCGAGAGGCTCCACTTCCAAAGCGATGCAAATACCACAGAAATGCTCGGTTTTGTCTCCAAACTGTTGCAAGGGCCATAGAAAACAAGGGATTCCAGGGGAAGATTTTTTTGATGCCTTAAATATTTATTTTTTGACCCCAACGGGAATATTGTTTTTTGATGCCTAAAATATTTTTTTTGATCCCTCACCCTTATCACAGCCGTAACACATTCCTGAGCCGCCCACCAAGATTGAATGAATCTCATGTCCCAACTAGAGCAGTGCAGCATGGCCAAGCGCAGCACTTGAAAACAAGAAGGTGTTCAAAACATGTTCGTGTTCAGAACCAGCAACTCAAAGGAGCTCAAAGGAGCTCAAAGGAGCTCAAAGACTCGTCCAGGTGTCTCTGGCTTAACTGACAAAGAATATCGAGACTCACTGCTGTGGGGCACCTCATTCTATCCTCAATCGTTTCGATGTCAAGCAACCTTGCGGCCTGAACGTACTTCTCATTGCCTCCACATACCCAGAATCCTGCCATTGCAATGCCTACTCCCAAACCAGCACCCATGGAACATCCTTCACGCCTGATCAGACTTCTGAACATTGTAAGTTCAGCAGTTTGTTGCGCTTTGTTACAGTTATTTTAGTTGCTCTGAGTCAATGGTTCGTTTGAATTCCAAGGTTTCCACTTCCAGAACTGAAGCAGGTCGTGCTGGCGAACAATGTCAGTACCCCAACAGGGACAGAAATGAAGAGCACAAAGAGCGACACCTCACGAAATTCTCAAAGCTTAAAGTGACTTCCAAGACTGAGAACTCACGGAACAGCAAACCACTGAGATGAACTCTGCAAGTCCAGTTTGAAGAATGTGGAAGATTGTGGAAGCACAGTCTAGCCAAGCATTCAACGAGAATCAACGAGAATCAACGAATCAACGTGGTCAGCTCTGCTTTAGGATTGGTCTGCAATGCCAGTGGAGAAGATGTTTGGAGATTGGGCTGAAGAAAGCGAGAAACTCAAAGGACAGACGAGAAAATATGGCCAAACACGGCTACTACCTGGGAGTACAGACTACAATCTCCAACCCGTCCTTTGTCCAGCTCAAGGACATTAAAATCATTCAAGTATAGTGCCCGACACTGGATTATTCTGCTGAGACATTCAATCATTTGCGCAAGTATTAAAGCGCAAAAGTCGTCAGCTGATTCGACTTTCAAGGTGTGCAGGATTGATATTTTACCAGATTTTTCCATGTAGATCCCATGAATTCCGAGCCTTTGGAGGTTTGCTGCAAGCGGAGCGTGCTTTGCACGCAAATGGAGTCCCGCGACCATCGTGGCTTGACGAGGAGCTTCGCACAGTCAAAACAGCAGCGGACACGGAGAGACTCTGTCTGTTTCGATTTTGCATATTGGCATCTCTTGGCAACAGCTCATTGGAATTTTGGCCTTCCGGCTTAGACAGAGGTACTTCAAATATTTTCAAATCCGTTGATAGCACAAGTACAGACACAAAAGACATCCGTGGGACCGAGGTGCTTTTTGCTACCGTAAAACGTGGGGTTTGATCACGGTGTGATCTGACCAAGTTAACTTACTGTAGTCCTCACATAGCTTGCCTTGTATGATGCTTGAAAGAGCCAACTTGCTTCTTTTTGCAGCACGTGCAGGACTACTACAACCTGAAGGTGCAACTTGTGTGGATCTGGTAGGTGTTCTAAAACCAGTTTGCGCAGTGGTTTGTTCTATGTATTTTTGAATCTGCAAGTTTCACGTGGCGGAGTATGTAAAGTAGCTTGTCGCTTCATGAACCGCTGTGTGCAATTCTCTGCATGAGTTCCAAACCTTGCTTGGGAATTCCAGCCTATAGAGTGGGCGCACTGAACCTCCACGCCGATCTGGACGACTGCCAGTTTTAGTTGAATGTGAGCCGGTCAAACTGAGAAGATGCTGTCAATCTTCCTTGCAATATTTGTTGTAGGCTTGAGATCCTTCTGTGTTCTTCAATTAAAATCCTAAATCTCCAGTTCTCATGAGCGTATTGAAGCGCATTGTTTCATTCTCCTTGCAATGAGAAGCTAGTGGCTAGTGCCCGACCTATCCGGCAGCGTAAGCCCTGTTTACTATGTTTGCAAATATCAGTGCAACTCAAATGTCGCTGCGCAGGTGGTTGGTGAAGCAATTGCTCTCATTTTCTCTTGGCTTCTGACCAGATGCCGTTTCGTGTACTGTTTGGGATGAAAGGCCCCTATGTCCGCTGCGGCTGCTTCGATGTAGGCATTTTCTGATGAAGTCGGAAATGCAGCTGTCCTGTGAAGC